CGTGGGCAGTATCATGGAGACATTGCGTAATTCTACCCTTCCTCCATTGTTGTTCACATTTTATATGCCGTCGTAAAACCAGAGAGAACGCTGCGTACTAAAAAAGGTTGTTTCCCTTTTGGTCTCTACCTTGAATAAACTCCTTCCCTACGATGAAACTGAGTTAAGGGGTTCATGCGCTTCGATCGGTGCCATGTTCCCTAATTGCCTCCTAAACAGCATATTTTTAATCAGCGGTAGTGCATCTCTGCAGGGTTCATCCATGAGATTAAGAGGAGGCGTAAGCCTCTGGCGGAAGCAGGGCACGCTGTTGGCGATTTCCAATGCGAAGGTCGTTCTTTGGTTGTTGGGGGAGAGGAGGTTTGCTTTTTGTCCTTGACAACTCCCCATATTGACTCATCTTGGCTGTTCCAGTCTCACTTCCGTTTCACTTCCCCTTTCACACCCCTCCACCACCCCTCTCCATGCTTCAAAGTGAAATTTTGGGGATTTTGGGACGACAAAATTTCTGGAAACCTGGAAAAAGTGAGTGGAGAGATTCTTGGAAGATTGTAAGTAGAATGGGACATAGGAAAGGGAGTCGTATTTTGCAAAATATTTCTCCAATAGGCAGGACTTGTTCTGAGCACAGCACGACGAAAATATTGGTAGCGATATCCGCTCCATCTCTTGGATGATCGCCTACATTTATATCTACACATTGTCCACTAAAAGCTGGTCGGGTCCTAACAACACCGCTCAGCCTGCAGGAGTAACTCCCCGCATAGGCACGGCTTCAGCGGAACTCAAGAGAACCTTTCAACGGGAAATGAAATTTGCAACGTTTAAGTGACCTTGGTTATATGCTGGCTTCTGAAGGGCAGTAACACGTAATAACACGCGCAGTAATGGATGGTATGAACTTCAGCTAAGCCCAGAGTATTCCTTTCGCATTTTTGTGAATAATTTCAGTAATTCGATCGACTTTCGACTCAGTTAAGCAGCAGATAATACGGAGATGGCTCATCAACTCTGTGCGGTGGAACTGGTGTAGCCAAGTGACGCTTCTTACTTGCTGCTATGTAAGCTGGTCTGGGAGGATGAAAACTCTGGCCTTTGCAGCACCTGGCCCTCGCGAGTTATTGTGGCTAAATCCCTTTAAAAGAACAAGTATGATTCTAAACGGGTGCGTGCCACATACTGAAAGAAATGAAAAGAATTCATCAATGGCTACCGTTTCATCCTTTATTTTTTCTGTAGATGCAAAATGCTCGTGTCTGGAACTGAAGCAAATCCAAGGGAATCTCGGTGAATGGTTCAATCTTGGCCCGCTACAAGGGTTTTTTCCGGTAATGTAAGTCTGCACCAAGTCTTCTCACGACGGATCCTGATCGGGTTTGCCTTTGGCAATGCAGTCGTTTTAACTCATCCTTAATGCAGTAGTTACTTCGTGGGTCATAAAAGTACAGGAACAGGGGATGCCAAAATGGAGCTAATTTCTTGAATAAAAACCAGACTGAGACCGAGTCGATGGTGCTTGACTACTCGAGATGGAATATCAAATTACATATACTGCTGATGAAATTTTCTTGCGTCGTCCAGTTTACAGGGGCCAGAGGTTTCTGATCCCTGACGGATGACGGGAAAGTTGTAAGGCTGCGTTTATACTTTGCGGCAGCGTAGCGTAGCGCTTCCAGCGTACGCCAGCGGCAGTGCCGGGGAGAGGATGCATATCGATCTAGCGTTCCCAGCGTCACCAGCGTAACGCTAGCGTTTCGCCAGCGTTTCACCAGCGTTTTGCTGGCGTTTGCAGCGGCAGGGGAGTAGAGACTATGGGGCCGTAACAATGGGCGCCATCGTATGTGTTTTGTACCCTCCAGCTCTTCCGTAGTCTCTACTCCCTGCCGCCGGCAACACGCCTATGCAAAACGCTGCTGTGAAAGCGGACTGGAGTAACTAGTACGCTTCGTTACGCTGGTGACGCTGGGAACGCTAGATCGATATGCATCCTCTCCCCGGCACTGCCGCTGGCGTACGCTGGAAGCGCTACGCTACGCTGCCGCAAAGTATAAACGCAGCCTAAGAAAGAGACAGATATCTTGATAGAGGAGCTCCTGAGGACCATAAATCACCATATTATCTTGCATAATAGGCGAGTGAACGTAGATGAAATCAAATGGATTGTTAAACAACCGGACCTAGGCCGGAATGTTTTGGACAGGAGAGGCTGACCTGTTCACTTACTGGCTAAAAGAGCGCTATCGAAGTTTGTATCTTTCGTTTCTACACGCTGCAGACAATGCGTTCCCTCATTCTCTGACCCTGGCACTACATGCTCCTTGACCTTGGCACTACATGCTCCTTGAAGTGTGTCATTTGCAGGACCGAGTAAGAAGACTGAGTTTACGATTGTAATCTGCCACTTGTAATGGACAGTATATTACTACGCTGAATTTCATAATGAGACACTCTGCTACCATTTCCCGAGCTCTCACGCGTATAAAAACTCCAGGAAGGAGCGCAAACTGCTTTTAAAGGCACAGCTCACGGTCACTCGATACTTCGACGGTGGAATTAGGGTTTTCCAGAGGTCAAGTTCTGTGTTAATCAGCATAGTAAACTGAAAAATGCAGAAAGAATACATGACAACTGCCCTAAATAGAACTCCGTTCCGATCCGTTTGTATATGCTCAATTACTCCATCTCCAACACTTCGTCCCCCCACCCACCACAGCTATTCCCGATAAGGCCCTACGACGTCCAAGTGGACGGATGGCCGGCTATTCATCTGGGTTTGTGCTTTTCTGTCTTTTCTTCTTTTTTACCGAAAGGGGCGGACCCGGAAGGCGGAGTTTGGAGGCGGGGTCACTAGAGAAAGGGAGGCGTCACCTAACCTAAATTGCGTTATAGCGCCGCTCCCTTTTTTGATGCGAACTGATACAAGGTTGTTCGTCGCGGAGCACGTTACTCTTTCGACGCCATATTTTCGACTATATACCTGATCGCGGCCCGTGCCTTCGAGGTGCCTTTCACAGTTCAAAATGGAAGTACGTAGTAGGAATTCCGCTGGTCACGCTCCAGAAAGAGTTGGACGCCGAAAGGTGTATAGGTTATCACATAGTTCACATCCGTAGAAGTGTCCCCTTGTATTCACAGTCCATATACGAGGGCAGCAAGGGGCGTAGCTGCGATGGTTGCGAGGGCAGAAGGTAGAGCGGCAGAGACGTGAGATAACAGAACAGGGTCGAAACACAGCCGTCGCCGGGACGCTCCTTTTTGCCTTTCTGCATAGGATCGAAAACTTGCCCTTGCCTGCTGTTCCGCCTTGGCTGTCACAATAACAACAATAAGAAATACATTGTATTCAAAACTGCAATAGCAACACGACAAATGACTTTGAGGGAGATCGTGAACGATCCTCAACATTGTCAAAGGATATACAGCTATAGGAAAACATTGCAGAGTCTGACTTCAGACAGTGAACAATTTTTGGCAATATATTCATTCAATTTCAGATTTACATTTGAATCCATAAAAACGGATTCAATGATGGCATAGCGGCAAAAAAGCGCAATCAAACTAGAACACTTATATTAGGCTTCGGCAGCACACAACCCGCACTATGTTTTCCAAGAGCTGTACTGACCCAGTGCTGACCAGAAAGTGTTCCTGAGCGAATACCAGCGTGAAAAGCTGCAGATTGCAAAAGTGGAAGTTATACGGTTGAAATCGTCGCAATCAGGTGAGGCGGTATCTAGAGGCGTGGAATCAACATACCAGTGGCGTTTACACTGTTGGCTGTTTTCTCTTGAATTGATCGCTAGCCGACCACTAATGGAAGAGAAAGGCAGCCGGACGCAAGCTCATCCCGCCCCTCCTGACACCGCCCCGACTAATTGCGCCAATATCAACTATGAGCACCATGTGGGACCGAGTCTCTGATTTCACCTGACCCTTTCAGATCCGAATCATGCTTTCCTTCTTAGTTTAATAGTTGCTTGAAGTAACTTTAACGGTATTTACACCCTTGGATGGGATATGTTCAGCAGAGTTGAACACAGGGACACCCTATGGCCAACAATCTGGAATCTCGTCATCGTCACTTGAGAACGTAGTGTGAGTAGTGTTGATTTATTTATTTGTTTTATTAGTATTTGGCAAATCCAGCAATGTTCGACAACGATCTCCTTGTACCAATGGCCGACGTCTTGGACGGGTTCAATGGCGCTGCGCAAGAGCAACCGATGAGACATTACAGTGCTCTGAAACTAGCATACTTTTTAAACGAGAGAAAGAACAAAGAACACTCACGTGAGCTGAGCAGCAGCAGGCAGAAAAAGAGGTCTTGGACTCACTCTATGGGAGGAGAAATTAGGAAGAATAGAAGGGGACAGCTAGCGTTTGGTTTAACGATTAACGGCTACCTTGTAAGATATGCTTTCAGTTGAGGCGTACTGCGTGACTCACAAGGGTTTCTGGGTGGGCACTGTTAACCTGAATTCATATACCTCATCGCGATTGAGAATCTTCAGTGATTACTTCCATTTTCTTGTCGAAGGAAAACTCTTGTTCAGCGCGATCTTTCGAAGGGCTTTTGGACGGTGTCCACGGCTCGCCCATAGACATTCGAACCTGTGGAAATCAATTAAAATTCTGGTAGAAATAGACATCGGACTGGTCCTTGAGCCTCACCTCGGTTGACTGCCTTAAACTGGCCGATTCTGTCGATGAGGAGCGACGATTACGACTGCGACGAACCGATGTGAAGCTGCAACAAGAAAGGTTTTTCGCTCGTTCGTTATCCTTTGAAGTTTGCCATCCCCCCTTTCGGAGGAAAAGCAATTCATCTTTGGAAATTCAGGCCGTTTTAAGTAAGGCAGAGTGCATCATGCTGAGTTTTGAATACGTCAGGCATTGATTCATCATTGAGAACCCTGGAAGTGGCCCACTCTGAACTGCTGTGTATATGTTTACCCATTACCAGAGGAAAGGGGTACGCATACAAGCAGAGGGGCAAAAAAAGACACTTTTCTTCGTCGACCTTCAAAGCGATATAACTTACAATTTTGAATTCTGATTGGACATTTCCACCATCATATTCAGCAACACATTGTACACTATCATCACGATACTACCGGCCGGCAGCCTTTCTGGACGAGCGTCATGCGAGTGATTCGTGCCGACGCGAACCAGTGATATTCGGCGCCTGAGTTTGGTCGTTGATTCTCTCCGCCACTGTGGACCACCCTGTTGAGCTCCGCCCGAACCCGATGACTGAGGGGGTCCAGGTCAGGTGACACACTTGGATATTCCTTCTTCAGGTTCTCAACGCCCTTCGATTCCAAGTAGGCGAGAGTTTTTCCAACGCCCTTCGATTCCATGTGCTGGCACCCAATCCTGTAGCAGTACGAAGTTTCCAAGATGGTACAGGCGACGACATGAAGGCAGGATATTCTCCTCGAGTTGGTCGATGTAACCGTCAGCGTTCACTTTCAGTCCGGGGTCCACGAAGAAAATATCGGTCTTCCCATTCCAGGAACTTCCGGTCCATACCATCAACCCGCGCCTTGGCGACTGCGGTGAAGATGATATCCTGGACCGTAGCGACGTTGTCGGAGCTGCTCGATGTTGGAGGTCTTCCAGATCAAGAGTGCCGGTCTCCAGGTAGCTGTCCATGGGTGACTCCATACAGGAAGTTTGGAATCCCATAGGCCTTCTCCAGTCAGGCTGCGATTGGAAGATGACTTCATATTTTGGTGTACATGAAGGTGATGGGCGAGAGCCTGCTCCTGCTTATCGAGGAACATCTTGGGTATCTTCCGCCCTGGTACTCGTATCCACGTCTTCTATCTGGGCGAAAAAAAACAACTGAAATGTGACTCGGTCGAAGTGTCCCCCCCCTCCCTCCCCCCGTACACAGCCTCATGGATGATGGTGCATTGTGCTCTTGGAGAATAATAATTGCAAAAGATTTCAGGATATTTCGCTTACACCCAGGTAATTAAAAATGTTCTTGAGTTTTTGAACAGATGTCGAACCGAAATGGATCCTGTTTATTGGGTTCTTTTCTCATATTATGTCAAAGATTTCCTCAAGCGAGAATGAATCCTAACAGGATCGAACACTTGGTGCGATAAAAAAAATAATAGAGAAGTTCTCACCTGCTGTCTAAATGCAGGTGCTCTCCCTGATAATTGTAGAACGGTCGATTACCGACGGGTATATTTACAAGGAATTTTTTTATAGTCATACGGTACGGTGCATAGATTAATGAAGTAATTAGTGGGTTAATGATCTGAAATTGCTATAGTAACTTATTTACAGTCGATAACGCAATCAATCTGTAATAAGTTACCGGATTAATAGTGAGAAGGTATATCAAAATCCATGCAATCCAGTTCATCAGTTGTTTGCCTTCACATGATAGCTCTGACCACCTGAGATTGACAGTATTCTTGTTTATTTTCAGGATATTTTTGCATGATCACAAATATAGAATCCATTTTTGTGTCCCAGTTGGGAACGAACGTCATATTCCTGATCAGGACCCCTATAATAGCTACTGAATGTAAAGTTAAAGTGAAACTGGTGGAAGAGTCACGACCCGGAATCGGCGCTAGGATGAATCTAGCGCTGGCACTAACGAACTAAATTTGGTTGAGGGTGTCATCAAAGGAATGAGCTTCAGCTCATTTCATATTTCTTTTCCTGAAGGCTTTTTGTCCTGTTTTCACCAGATTTGCTACACCTCGCGATTTTTTTGCGCCTCAGCCAAATGGTCAGGATTTCTGCCATTCTCTTAAGAAAGTCTTAT